ACGACTTGCACTAGCACTTAGTACAAGCAAATGACCATCAGCTGATAAACATGGCACTGTAGGCACGTTGTCCTCAACAGCTTTAGGCCAGGCAGCAACCATAGTAGCCATGTCTCGAAGACGAACTTGCTCATCATATGTATGTCCAACACCTTTCCAACCAAAACCTTGACTAGATGTATTTGTTTTCTGAGTGGAATATGATGATATCCATGCTGGTAGACTGTTCACAATAGTTGTTACCGTGGTAAAGCGTGTGTTCATGTAAGAAAACAGTAAAAAGAATATAATTGATACGAGCGCTGCAATTGATATACGAAACATGAATGATGCGTTTATGTTAATCATGAAGATAATCTGAAGATAGTTATAAAGAATGTAGTGGCAAAATAAATTAATAACGATTATGTCATGAATAATTGCACACTTCGTTGTGGTCACCTGCAAAATACGAGAACGTCCACGAGCAGGTGGAAGAAAGAACAAACAATGATCTAGTAATACAAGTACGTAGAAATCATTGAGTTATACTCATGAACATCTACAAAGACCATTTTTGAATAACCTCTTAACAAAATCTTTTATACTTAGACTGACGATTGACTTACGAACACTGAAGATTATATGTAAAGGTCCATGAATACTGATTGGACACTAACGAAAGTTTACAAAAGCATATTCTTTGATGTGATTTCGTACTCAGAGTGTTAATTAAGCTAAGAATTTCCAAAAGAAAACATTTTCAAAAACTTGACCTTTCCAGCTGCTAATTCTGAATTTCAGTCTCATCCACCAACGCCTGGAAAAAAATCGATTTTTTGAACATGTTTTATTTTAGAAACTCTTAGCTTAGCTAACCTTCTGCGCCCGAAATAATATCAAAAGAATAAATTTTCATAGGTTTTCGTCAACGTCTAATCGTTACTTAAGCACCTTCGCATATGATTTTAGGTCTTAGTAGATCAATCTGTAGTCGACGTACTCAAGCTAAAACTAATAGACAACGAACAACTATCAACTAATTTCTTAAATGAAGTTGATGTACTTACACTAATTTTTTCTATTATCATCACTTACAACTACATCAAATACATTACTAACAAACGGTTTATATAAATAACAATCAACAAATTCTACATGTAAATAAATATCATAAATCTAAAAAATGTGAAGAATCAGCAGGTGAAAAAAAATGCAAAATTTCAGAGCTGCACCTGCAGACTCAAACAACGAAAACATTATTACCAACACGAGATAGTTCGTTGAAACATTGGTCGAAAACTGATGACTCAAAACATAAAGGAAGTACTTCGACAACATATTATTTTATTCTCGACTGTCAACGTTTTGACTCAATGAGTCACAAAAACAAATCATTGTATATTTGGATCAAAGATGAGTGTAAATTACAGGCGCATCAGATTTAGACAATTTCTTTACAACTGAACATTACAATATATTTCAACATCATAAACAGAGACCACCAACATTTGTTAGTTGTAATAATTATATGAATGGAAGTGGCTATGTACACATAGTCAATGGACTATCTGTACTTATGTAGCTATAATCGATTAATTAGTGAATATTGAGTTATATTATAGTCTTATGTGTATTTGATTATTAATATAAACTCAATATCTTAGCTTTTTAATGATCTTACTTTATTAATTCTTTATTACATTCAATAAAATATAAATCAAGTATTAATATATCCAAACATAGAAAAAAACATAAGTCGAATAAAGATGAGCTAATATAGAAGCATTTCTAGTACCTCTTCTCTTAGGCTTTGAAGAAAATGGTTAGATTTTATTATTTTCAATACAATAAATGAAAGCTATCCCGTATCACTGCTTTTCCTCTCGTTTATTGCACCTTTTTCCTTGTCGATTAATTATAAAACGAAAGATTTTATATTTTCTTTTCTTGGTTAATTAGCTTAAAAATGAGAAATTGAAAAACATATGAAGAGCGAATTAGCTCGCGATCCGAGAAGGTAACCTTTCCTAAGATACATTGATTAATTTTCACTTTAATCTTTTCTCTATTCCGCTTTTTGAATACTTGATGATTTATTTGATTGGGCAAAATTTAAATTGTATACGAATTCACTGGAAAACTCTATTTTTGTTTTTAATGCAAATAATAATCATTGACTAACAATCTCAAATTTGGATTGTACTAATAGTGGAAAAGTTTATGATTCGTTTATTTATCAAAAAGAATCAATAATTAAATTGTTTAACGACATTTTTCCTGATGAAGAAAAGGTTTTGGGTTCGAAAATGTTCGACAGCAAGTTGGTGGTGTTGATTGTGGATTATTTGCATTGGCTTTTGCTACTTCTCTATGTCATAGGGATGCGTTATCTTTACTGTTTTAGGATCAGATATCTTGATATGATTATTGTGGTAAATGTATTGAAAATAATAAAATCTAACCATTTCCTTCAAAGCCTAAGAGAAGAGACACTAGAAACGCTTCTAAATTAGCTCATCTTTATTTGACTTACATTATTTTCTATATTTGTGTATATTAATACTTGATTTATATTTTATTGAATGTAATAAAGAATTAATAAAGTAAGATCATTAAAAAGCTAAGATATTGAGTTTATATTAATAATCAAATACATATAAGACTATAATACAACTCAATATTCATTAACCTCTTGGATACCGCTGTCTTCAGGCTGAAGACAAGCAGAACACAAGAATTTTTTTTTCGCTCTGTCGTATCGATAAAGAACTGTGAAATGAAATGTTCATTAATACGGCTGTATCAATCCATATTTCATGTACGATAAAATATATATGTATACAGCTGATTCACGAAGATAGAACGCAGGAGAGAGTGATTTTTCGATTTTTCTATAAAATCGTAAAGAACGCAAGGATTATCGGTATCCAGGAGGGTAATTAATCGATTATAGCTACATGACTACACATAGTCAATGGACTATGTGTATTTGTATATATATAGCTGTTGGGCTATGTGCACATAAGTGTACATACCCGACT